AATCATGGAATATATATCTGGTGGTGAGAAATCCTTGCAAAATCAATCAGCTATGGTAACTATAGAAGATGCATTTGGTAAAAGTGTTGCTGCTCAGCTACATTTGTTGGATAAAGAAGCAAAAAGTAAGGCAATGAGTAAAATTCAAATTGTTTTAAGTGAAGCAATCTCTTCAATGTCAACAAACAGTTAGCATGAGAAGGATGTAAAGTAAAATGAAGTGGAAAACTTAAGTTATTGAACTAACTTTCAAGTTACTTAGAAAAGTCGTTGATGTTTGTAAGAAACAGATTATTCTTTGTTCAGTTGAAACATACATTTGCTAATTAAATAAATACAACTTATTAATAAGATGATATTATAAATGTAAAATTGTTTTACAGAAACAGGTTTATTTTTCTTGTCTACCATTATTTTGCACATACGCATATTGCCAAGGTACTTCCCTTCTGGTGAGCAGAAATAATTTGTCAGTAAATTTTGCACAGATTTGGCATTTCGTGAATAGTTATTGCTTCCTTGTCGTGAAATTTGTTGCAGACCCGTGTCTCCTTCTGTCAAAGATCGCCATCCTCCTGGCAGGTTCTGTCCATACCTATAAAAATTTCTTTAGTTATAACATTTTAGGTTATCGAATACTGTGGCAATTTCATTTAGTTGTATTATCATGCACATTTCATATAGTGACTAGTGGTAGATGCTTAAGATGATAAGACCATAACCAACTGACTTAAAATTAGATACAGGCATTCAAAACTTGCATATACTATAGTAACTATAAGATAAAATATACTAAGAAAAAAACATCATTTTATAAGCTCAAGATTTAAGTTATTTTAACCGGAGAAAATAGCAATTATACCTGTCTTCTGTGTCAACAAATCCAGCTGGGCAATACCTTTTTGATGAATTAGGAATACCGAATTCTTCTAACATCAGGTAATTGTGAAGTGCACAGACTGCTTTAGTTATACTTGCCACCTTTTTAGCTGAAGCCATTATAGGTCTTCTTAGCACTCTCCACCTAGCTGCAGTGATTCCAAATGCATTCTCAACAACTCTCCTTGCTCGTGACAGACGGTAATTGAATATTTTGAGCTTTTTATCAAGAAATTTTCCTGGGTAGGGTTTCATCATCCATGGTTTAAGGGGGAATGCATCATCAGCAGTGAATAAATATGGGCAAACTTCTGTTGGTTTATTTGGAAGGGGATCTGCAAATGGTAACTTTAAACTGCCATCTTCAATGGCTCTTCCAAATTTAGACTCACCAAAAACACCTCCATCACTATTTCTGCCTGAGCTGCCAATTTCCACTAGAGTAAACAAGTACCTAGCATCACAAACTGCCAACAGAACAATGCTATGTGTTCCTAAATGGAAATAAAAAATTGTTAAAAAATCATACTCGCTTAATCACAATATTCACAAACATGCAGTTTCACTTGACTTGTCCAACATGTAAGCAGCAAATTTACAATGTATATCGTTATCTAAGAACTCTTATTTACCTTTATAGTTAAAAAATGACGAACCAGCCCGAGGGGGACATTGCATGACTACATGTTTGCCATCAATGGCACCGCAACACATTGGGAAGTTCCACAACTGCCAAAATCTGTTGCGATTTTTTCCATTCGCTTGTTGTCGTTGGAGGCTTGATAAACGGTTGCAACGCAGACCACAAAGCTTCGGAAGACTCCTCTACGATTTTGGTCACAGTAGCATGGCCAAGTCGAAAACTGAATGCTATGCTTTGTTGAGAGTCGCCTGTCGCTAAAAGCGAAGAGTAACAGCGAGGCGTTCTTCAGGACTCACAGGCTCGCGGTATAAGGAATTCTTTTTCAAGTATGGCCCAACCAGACCAAGAAGTAAATCAAACCGCGAAGGGGTCATCCGAAAGTATTGATAAAATGATTCAGGATCATTTAACCGCATTTCTTGAATGAGCCGATGGTATTCCCCCAGTTCTTTTCGCCGTTTTAAAATATCTTTAATCCAAAACCTTTTTTTGTATTTATTCCTTCGTTTTCGTCTTTGGCGAAGCAAAAGTAGAATTGCTAATTTTCGCTCCTCTTTCGACGCCATTTTGAATTGCAGCACGCATTAAATTTATGCACAACGCAAAACGCAGCACTGGAGATTAAAAATCCGTGCGTTTTTATCTATGGATGTACGCACGGAAAAAAAACGCAACAGTGGAAAGCAGCCTTAAGGATAAAAAATCTTTATCTTACCGTTTTATTAGATGGAAGGAATATTTCTTGATATCATGATCATATATCGCCAGAAAAATATTTCCAACGTTTAACGTTTATATGCCCGGCAGCCGGGAATATAGGAAATATACGCTACCTTCGATACCCAGCAGTCAAAGTTCTAGATGTACGTTCCGTACCTTATGATACAAATACAATAAACGCCATGGCTGGCGATTGACCACACGGGTCTTTTCCTTTCACGGTTATCGTTCCGAAATCACTATTTACGAATTAAAAATCAAGTATTGGGCTGAAATGTTATTTGTTAGGTTATGTTAGATTCAGATACAATTCAAGCAAAGCTGAAAGACACCAATGAAATATCATAACAAGTAAGTTTGTCGATGGAATTACAGTATATTACTACACTGTCATTTGACTAATTTTATCAAACAATCTTTTATCTTCATCTCATATAGTCCATTGATTAATTATTATTCTTCATCTCGTTAGTGCTTGATTTATGTGTAATTTCTCTTAGAGCCTGGCTCCTATGTTCATATGAACTAGTATGTTATTTTGATTTTTTTCAAAAACATTATACAATACAAACAAACAAACAACATTTGTATACCGGCCAGTATTAATCCCCGCCAGGGGGGTTGACCGGTCCATGAATTTTTCCACGCCAAACGTCTCTATCTCTCGCCATATCTCTCGTTATACCCATCGCTTTCATATCACTGTTCACAGCATCCATCCATCTCTTTCTCGGTCTACCTCGTTTGCGGACACCATCAATATTCATATGCAACGTTCTACGAATTTCAGCACTTTCTTCCCTTCTTTCCACATGCCCAAACCACCTCAAACGCTGGCGCCTTACCCAATTCTCGATACACTCAACACCAACTCTTTCTCTAATCTCTTCACTTCGAATCCTATCCATCAACGTTACACCACACATCATCCTAAGCATTCTCCTTTCCGTCGACGCTAATCATCTCAGGTCCTTTGCTTTCGGCGCCCAACACTCTGCTCCATATCCCAAAACACTTCTAACACATGCCTTATACAATTCTCCCTTCTGCTTCAACGAAGTCGACTTTCCGCACAACATTCCCGACAACTCTCTAAAACTGCACCACGCTGCTTGAACTCTGTTCCTCACCGCTTGCTCGCACCCTCCACCATCATTTAACACATCGCCCAGATATTTAAATTCCGATACACCTTCCAAACTCACGTCACCCGGTTCAAACCGTTCAATCGCGACTCGCCCACCACTTCGACACGTCCGGCACTCAAAATCAGTTACTCTTGTCAATGCACCACGGACACCTGAACATCTTCCATAAACCCACTTACTGCATTTCCCACACATTATCGAATTCACTCCAACTCTTTTCCCACACACACCACATGGCCATTTATCACTGTCCTTCACCTCCACCTGCCTCGAGCATCTCATGGCCTTCGTCTTTGCCTCATTCACTTTCAGTCCCTTGACTTCTATTGCTGTTTTCCATTCTCGGTACCATTCCATGACTTTCTGCTTCGACTCCGCCACCAAGACTATGTCATCTGCATACAACAAACAACAGCATCCTTCTTTTCTTCTCACTTCCTCTGTCAGTACATCCATCACACAAGCAAACAGTAACGGTGACAAGACTGAATCTTGATGAACACCAACTTTTACCTCAAAAACACCAGATCTAACACCTTCCTCCGTAACCACCGCCTCTACACCTTCATAAGTCTCCATAACTGCCCGAACCATATTCTCTGTCACACTTTTCTTACGCAGCGTACTCGATCACCTTTTCGGAACTCTATCAAACGCCTTCTCCAAATCTACAAACACCATATACAATTCTCTGTCCTTCTCCAAAATTTCTCCTGCAGCTGCCTCAACACAAAACACGCATCCGTCGTTCCTCTCCCCGGTATGAATCCATACTGCTCTTCCCCATCCGAACAACTTCCTCAACCTTCTTCAAACACTTCTACTATCTTCAACGCATGCTCCATCAGCTTAATAGTCCTGTAATTCCCACATACCGTCGCTGCTCCTTTTCCTTTCCTTGTACAGCGGGACCACTAGACTCTTTCTCCATGTACTCGGCATCTTTGAGCCCCTCAAACCTCGTTCGCTACATTACACAACCCTCACGCATAGTTCATTGTCCAACATTTCGCTACCCACTTCACTCGGTCCCGTCGCCTTTCCTTTCTTCATCTTGCGCAGAGCCGCCGCCACCTCATCAACAGTCACTATTTCCACGGCCCAAAAACTTCATCCGCTTCAACTTCTGCATTCCACTCATTCTCTACATTCATCAAACGGTCACAGTACGCCCTCCACACTTCTAACCTGTCTTCCAATAACACCTTCAACTCCCCATCGGTTCTGCACGCCGGAGAAATATCGCCCTTTGTTTAGCCGTTCTAAACAACGCTTTTCGTCCATTCTCCTGCATTTTTACGAGAAGCTCTTTCTGATGCCTTTCTATCGCTTTAGCCACCTCCTTTCGCGCCTTTTTCTTGAACCGGATGTAATCGATCCTATCTGCTTCAGTCCGCGACTTTCTCCACCTTTTAAATGCCAACTTCGCGCCAATCATTTCGCTGACTCGTTGATCCCACCACCATGCCTGTTCTTCTACTACACCGCCTTTACTTCTACAACATACCTTCTCCGCTGCCTTTAAAACACCCTTCCAAGCACGTCCATCGCTCCTCCACCGTCTCACCTCAATTCAAGTCGCAATTTCGTCACGGAAACACTGCTTCCCTTCATTCGATCAACTTCCATAGCTTAAGCCTGCCTTTACCCTCAACCTTTCTCCTCTTCACCTTCCTGATTCTCCAGTCCATGACCAGCAGCTTGTGCTGGTCACATTCTCCTGCAATCACTTTTGCATCCTTCACGTTTTTCTCTTCTTCATTCACCAGTATATAATCCACCACCGTCCTACTGTCACCAGATTCATACGTCACAAGCTTGCTTTCTTCCTTTATAAACCACGTATTCACTACCACCATCCCACAACTCGCTGCTAACTCCAATATCGCCTCGCCTTCAGCATTCATATCACCAACTCCAAAACCTCCATGCGCACAGTATCCTTTTCTTACGCTTCCCACATGACCGTTCCAATCACCAAGCATCACACATCGCCCTCTAATGTCTGCTCTCACTGCATACACGCTGTCGTAGAACTTTTCCTTCTCCTCCGCACTTCGTCCAACCTGCGGAGCATACACCACAACGAAACTCACAACTTCGGCCTCAATAACTACATCAACTCTCAGGACTCTGTCCGAAACTCTCTTCACTGCTACAACCGACTTTGCCCAATCCTCTCTTATCGCAAAGCCAACACCATTCGTGCTACTTCCGTTTCCCTTCCAAAACCACTTAAATCTCGCTCCATTATCTTCACCCTTTATGACTGTCGTACCTTCACCTTTAAACCTTACCTCCTGAAACCCACACACATCAACTTTCCTTCTCTTCAACATGTCCGCCACTTCTGCACTCCTTCCTTTCATTGTCCCAACGTTCACTGTGCCTACCCGAAGGGTGACACTTCAACCAACATTCGATCTGGAGATTCTTCGCACCCCCTGCCCACTGAAGGGCTGCCGGGGACTGGGGGCCATATCTTCTTTTCCAAAGTTCATGAATTTTGTTGGAGCAAAAGTTTTACAGTAGGATGCCCTTCCTTACACCAACCCCTTTTAGTCGTCTTTTACGACACGCAGAGGATACGTTGGCGCAATTCTAAGCCGGCAACCACACGGCACTATACAATAGTTATTAGATTAAGGTTTATTTGTGAGGGAACACACATGGTACGTATATTAGTGGTATTTTTGATACTTTAATATAATTGAATGTAATTTGGTATTTTTACATCAATGATGAACAAAACATTAATTCAATAAATAATACCATAACCCTTGGTATGAACTCAATTTTCAAGCTGGCCTAATGGGCCCTTTTGTTTTGTGAATTTACCTGGAAACACCTAAGTTTTTCTCATACATTCGTGAGGGAAAATCAATATTTGAGAGGGAGGCTCATGTTCATACATGCATGATATGCTACAGAAACCTTCTTTGAAATGTATCGTTTTCTATGGATTTTAGAACATGCATATATGAATATATGAGCTCCCCCAATTATTTATTATCCCATGCCTGTGTTTCTATAGGTGCGGCAACTTTTTGTGAAGTGGTAGGGCATACTTAACACCTAGTCCATAACTCAGGGCCTTAAAATAATTATAGAAGAAGATGCTGCTTTTCTTGATAAGTTTCCAAGTTGTAAATGCAACTCAACCTCAATTGAAAAACTCTCAATTGAAATTTACATAACTGGTTCTAATTCGAAGGAGCTTATTTCAAGAGTCTAGTTAAAAATTGTTTTAAAGATTCTTATGCTGTCTTACTGTACAAGTTAATTGTACTTTGGTTTGCAACTATAACCGAACCAATTTCATGCTTTTGTTTTTTTGTTAGTGATATACAAGAAAAATTATTCCATCAAAGGCACCGACATGCATGCTACTTCGTGCCTCGGTAATAGCTTTCACAGATTTTGAAAACCATTTGCAAGTGTTTTTGGCTTTTTCCAGAACAACAGCAAGACGGGTTAACCTTCCTTCTGGTTGAAGTACTTTGAACATGATTAATGTCAACGCTTTCAGTGTCCCTAATGGTATCAGGTGGCGAGATGGATTTGCTTGTTAAACACTCCAGAATAAGTCGTGCTTTGTCACCAGGCGGGATTACAGAATGGTAAGATTTTATCATTTTCAGATTTATGTTTCTTACTTCTGGGAATGCAATAACAGTAAGCTCAGATCCTTGGGCGACCTCTTTTCATCATTTTAGGAGGCAACTTAATGTGATCATAATTCCCCTCTAATTTGCGGGTGTGATTGCTTGATTAGATTATCGTTCTGAGAAATCAGTGGTTCATTGACGTTTTTGTCTCTTGCGGTGGAATATGCTGATGTCTTTTTTTCAGGAATGCTTGGAAGGCTGTCGTTAGTCCTCTCCTCCTGCAAATCATTTTTCCCATTTCTACGGCGACAGGAGTTGATTTTAAGCTCTCCATTTGTCTGTTTGGCAAGGCTAACGTCTTTTCCTGCTTTCCAATTGTTAATGATGTCTTTCATTAGCTGGTATCGTTTTCTGAAGTTAGCCATCCCACCTTCACTCGCATATGCGGCAAGAAGCTGTCCTGCCTGTAACCCCTTGCGAAATTTCTGTGCTTGGGAAAGAATCCTTTCTTCTTTTTTTCGTGCCCACCAAAAGAACATTTGAATCTTCGTACTCAAAATCACAAACATTACTCTCGCTGTTGCGTTGATCAGTATAGTTTGCACAGTTGAATTCATTTCACCCCTTGTTTTATGTCTGTCATTGTCCACCTCTCTTTTATAGTTGCTTTGTCAAACAAAACTAGACCAAGTAAACTTCTTACTTTAAAGATATGCTTGCATGGAGGACCCATTCGTTTCATAAAAGAGCAATTACATATTGATGATGCTGTAGTTACGGTATCATTTCCGCTGGAGAAAACAAACTGAAATGTTTTTCGATCGCCTTCACTCATCTTCTGTGTGGTATTTGCCAGGCTAAATTGCTGGCGAACGAAATTAAAAGCATGTGGTATCAAATATTCAAAGAAAAGTTTTGAGTTTTGATCCAAATCTTTAATTTCAATAGATTTGCGTGTCAGAGTCATCAAATAGTGGTGGTTTTTTTCGCTACTTAGTGAACTCAAAACAGAAAAGAACTCTTGAAAGAATTGCATCAGAGTTACATATTTACTGCAAACAGATTTGATCTTGTTGAATGTAGATTCAAGTCGATTGTTAGTAGTTTCGCTGTTGAAGTTGCTATCTTTAAAACACGAGACCCATTGCTCTTTAATAGGTACCCAGTTTAACTCAACGTACTCCTTTACACTTTTGCTTACTAAATGCAGTTTTGCCGATGACATTCATACACTTTTGCTGATTTGGAATATGCTATATTCGTCATAATTTCTATGCAGCGCGTTCAGCTGAGGTTATACCCATTTTTTGCAAGTTATTTCTCTATGTAAAGATAGCAGTGTATGATACAGACAGATATTCAATGATGCATTGAAAGCATTTAGTGAAAGCTTCCAGTTCAGTAAAATCCTTGTCTGACATTATAACTTGAGTTTCTCTGGAATCAGTGCTTTGATTATTAATTATATCTAGAAACCCTGGATAACTGCATGGTTTAGCCAGTTATTTCCTTCAGAGTGCCAAGATCTAAAGCCAGTATACTTTAATCCATGACAATTGTCCCATCAGCATTTTCAAAAAGAAGCTTTATAAACCTTTCCATCAATCCACTTGGTTTTTGACAGTTTTCATTCGGTGGAAAAACAAACGCTTGTATCCAGCGCTTCTTGCTTTACTTTGGCTGCAACATCCCGTCGATGATGAACTTTAAGCAAGGTCTGCATCATTGAATGATCGAAAATACCAAAAGAAGATGAAACAGCCTTGTATTTACTAATGAAAACTTTGCAGCCATATATCACATGCAGACTTTGTGGAATTTGGGACAAAGTGTTAATAACAGTACTGCTATATTTTCATAGAAGCACTATTGCTAATGCGCATTTAATATATACGACGATCATATTATCATACTCCTTTTATACTTTTATATAACCTTGTATAATTTATTATTTCACATATACTGAAGATGGCATCATGAGATATTGAAACATGTCTATTTTAAAAAACTTGTCGTATATATTAAATGCGCATTAGTAAAGCTATACTTAGGTACACATGTGAGAAAGGTATGGCTTCCCGAATAAATGATGGATGGAAATTGGATGTCAGACAGTTCTCCCCTTTTTGTTAGATATTATGTATTTTTGTTCACTATGTCCTAAACCAATAACATTTTTTGTGTATTAATATTAGCTAAATATGAATCAGAGTGTAGTACAGGGCTTCCAAAAGACATAGTGATGTAAAATCACCAGGAAAAAATTTGGACACCTTATTGAAAAGTGGTACTACATACCTCCAAAATGGGGTCTTGTTCCCATACCTTTCTAACCTCTGGCCTAACAAAATGCTTTTTACTTGATATAAAATTAATAAAAAGTTTTTGTTTCACACAGTGTGGTCAGCCTGTTTTGAAACACTAATACACCTATGGCACGATATAGTTTGCATTGATTTGTATTGTTAGCCATACATGGTCCTACAAAAGTATGTGTCGAATACCAAATTTGCATGTGTTATGGGAATTGATACAAATTTTCAACTGTTGGAACTTTGGGTTAGGCATAACATCCTTTAATGAAATTCAAGCTCCCCTGTGCAAGAAATCATAAATAATTCTGTTCCCTTAAAGAACATACCCCATTATAAGTTAAGAAAGCATGCTGAACACAAAAGTTATAGATTAACTTTCATTACATATAATGTAATCATCCTCTGTCAACCGGAGAAAGAATATTTCTATACATTGGCCTTAAAAAATTACTCAAATATTTTGCTCAGACCTTCAATATCACCTTTATTCTTTATATTTTATTTAAATGCCGAAGAACAATGCACAATCACACGCTTATGAAATGAAAACATTTGCTGGAAAAAGGGAAATTTTCAAAGTCCTCTACTTCCGGGCATCTAGTGTCACAAACAAATATTCAACGGCGATACCAGTAAAGCGCATACTTCATATTCAAAGTTACTTTTTGATCCCATATTCGTGGCTACTGCTTAATAAGATATCATTCCTATACGATATTTCGCTTGAGTAAAAGTTCACAATAGCAACAAAATTAAGCAGGTTTTGCATAGTCTTGAAATATTCGCACTGCGGGGCATCTAGTATTCCAGTCCTAGAGTTTTGAGAATGTTTTATTTTGATTTTAATTGTAAATAGTGATGCGGAACGACAACTACGAGTAAAGATGCCATGTCGCGAATCGCCAGCCATGACGTTTATTGTATTTGTATCATAAGGTATGGAACGTACATCTAGAACTTTGACTGCAGGGTATCGAAGGTAGCGTATATTTCTATATTCCCGGCTGCCGGGCGTTTAGTATTTTTATAATCCTTCCCGGCTGCCGGGTATCTAGACACGTCGTAATCTTAAACATTTCAAGCTTTACATTCACAGCCAGCGACAGAAGAAGCCTGACTTTCAACGTGTCACAACTAATAAAGTTTAACATAAGTTCCATTTCCTTTGTTCCATAAGTTCTTAGTATCAAATAACAATTATCTATTACTTATATACATAAGTTCCGACACATATAACTTAAAATGCCGGTGATTAAAAAATAAGATTTTCATTCGCAATCAGAGGAATAGAAAGTTGATCAAACAGGAAATTGAAGTTACTTAAAGTACAAAAAAAGTTAAGTAGAAATAACAACCGTACATATTACTTGAATGAAACTTGTAAGTCAAGAAGAAATAATAACAGTGTGACAAATTTTCCATACTTCACATTCTATGATAATTATT